ACGATTCTAATGACGCAGTTATGCGATATTTCGTCCTCGCGTATCCTCCACGGGATTGAAAAGGGACGCAAAAGGTATCTATTTACGGTCCAGTATATTGTCAATAGGTATTTTGATGCGTTTTTAAGCATTATATGATTCCACGTCGCCGTCCGCCATTATGGCTAGACGGTTTTTACAACACGACGGGATAATTTCTTCATATTTTTCAAACACTGGTTAATGTCATTAAACTTCTAGCAACTAACTTCACTCCAAATATTTCAAGCTTTCTTTAACCTTTGGAGGACCGGAAACCAATTTATTGGCTTTTAACTTACTATCGTAGGATATTTTGATTTATTAATATTCTACTTTTATATTTCATATTCGCTTACACGTTATACTTTATATTGTACCAGTTTCGGTTTGGTAAACAGGATCGGACAAACGCTCTCTGTGTGTGATGTGACTGTCGAGCCGATAATACTTATTGTTATACTTGTTGTTATTTATTTACGGTGAATAGTGATGCACCTCTTTGCGTTGTACCGTGCTTCAAACTGTACCACACCAAGAAAAATTACTAAATGTATTGTAAAAGCATTAGTCCTTTTATTTTTTCAATTATTTTTTTTACATTTTCGACAAAGTATGCATTTATTGCGAAATAAATTGATGTATATAAATACATATGATGCATTTTGATTGCCTTCTACTTCATAAATTGCGGTATAAAAATTTTTATATGTTTTTTGTCAAAGTTTTTTTCTAAAATGATGTTAAACAATTATTATAATAATATCTAATAACATTAAGTTGAAAAACTAAAAAAAAGGATCCTGATTCTTTTCCGGACCGGAAGCCAATATATTGGCGTCATCTTTTTCGTCATTCAACCCAATGATGTTAATAATAAAATTCTAATACTTAAAATAAAAAAGGTCGAAGAAAACAACTGCGGTCATCTAAAGGTTAAAATAGAAAAGTGCATCATTCGGTAAAGAGCTGTTTGTTTGACATTGCATTAAAAATAGAGAATCAAAACGAGCATTTCCGTCATATTTTACATCTTTATTTCCAAAAAGGAAGGGACGCTGTGCAAGCAACAGTTATACGGTGTATATAGTGAGGAATTCTTAATAGTATGCCAATGTCAGCGTTGATTTACTCGTTTTTGTTCAGGACATTTTTCTGTGAAAGATGAAAGATGCACCACGGCCAGGCCGACCAATTAAAGTCAATGACGACAAAGTAAAAGCATTGATTGAATCCAACCGCCATTATACGACATGGGTGGTCGCTGAGAAGCTAAATCTATCACATATGAGTATTAAAAATTATTTAAACTTGGATATGTCAACAATCTCGATATCTGGGTTCTACATAAGCTCAAAGAAATTTATTTCATAAACGCATCAATATCAGTGATTCTCTTCTGAAACGTGAGCAAAACGATCCGTCTTTGAAACGAATGTTAATTGGCGGTGAAAAATAGATTGTTTATGACAATGTGGAACAAAAAAGATCGTGGAACAAACATGATGAGCTGCCACAAAGCCCTTCTAAAGCAAATATTCACCAAAGGAAGATTTTGCTATCTGGTGGGATTACAAAGGTGTTGTGTTTTTCGAACTGTTTAAACGTAATCAAATGATCGATTCGGAATTGTACTGTCGTAAATTGGACAAATTATACGAAAAGGTGTTGTCTCTCTCGTAAAGGGGTTGTCTTTCATCAACGCTAAATCACATACATCGTTGGTCATCCGCCAAAAATTGTTGGGTGGGATGTGTTACCATATCGATTATATTCGCCTGATCTCTTGCACCATCAGATTACTATTTATTCTGTTATATAATAGTTCTTTCTTTTGCACACATGTAGAAATAATCCTCTGGATCCTGCATGGAGTTGACGCTAATGTTGTAGGCACAAGTGGCAATCACATCGATGGCGTAGCGTGTGAAGATATCTTTCATCTCCATCATCCTTTTCTCCGGCGACAATTGCGCCAGGATATTAGCGAAGTCGACAGCGTAGTTAGATATTAGTTTGAACATTAGCTTTTCATCTTGCTAGACGTAAAGGCCGGACTCAGAATTGTCCGCCTTTTACGCCACTTCTCGTCACGGAGGATGAATAAAGTCTGGGATGTGAACGGATCCTGGTCAAGCCGAAGTAAGACGCGATGATTCGGGAACATGTTAAAGTGCTTGATCGCAATGGACTTGATGAGCTCGGGATCGCGTAGCATTATCACCGGCGTATGTAAATCGTACATACCAATATATTTGGCTTTGGGATATTCATCATATAGCATTTTCAAGACTTCACCTAACGATTTCTTGCCGATGATCGTCTGTCCGAAATTGCCTACTATTGGCAAAGGTCGCACGTATGGTATGCCATGATTCTTGAACTCGCTCAGATTCTTGAAGAAGAAATAATAAAAGGCTAAAGCCCCGATTATCGCGGAAAAGATGATCGTGTACACCATGTCGATCGAATTTGTCCTTACTGAACTGGATATAGCATCACGTGTTGTTTGATACGATGCGATTTCTAATGTTTAAAAGAGAGGATCTCTAATCTATAAAATCACAAACTTAGTTAAATGTTCTTTTACCGTACGTATAATTAGACATCGGTAGAAGAAGAAATACGGCACAGCAACAATGTTATTAACCGTGACAAACCAACTGCTCTGCACATACCTTGTCTATATAATATAGTGTATCGTGTCATTATTTATAGAACAGAAAGTTTTATCTGCGCACTGGAAAGTGCGCAGGAAATACTTTGCAAGGAAAATTATTCGCGCATTTTCTACACTGTTATCTCAAAAGTTAAGCCAGCGGCACACGGTGTTTGTTTTCGTATTGGACTGATTGCTGGATGAAAATATTGCGTTCTGATTGATGAATTTCCATCCATCTTCGGAAATGTACCAATCACAATGCAATATTTTCATCCAGCAAGCAATCCAGCACGAAAACAAGCACCGTGTGCCGCTGGCTTTAGTTGTACATGTTAATGTAAAATACTTTGATATTTGTCCATGCAAAGTTAGCGTTTTTATTATTTTTGCGTTCTAACGTATATACAGTGCAATAAATTCTAATAAATGATCAGAGAATACTCTCATATAAAAAAACGCAAAATCAAAACACAAGGTCGCAAACATGTTCGCAAGAAGCTTCGGAAGTGAAAAGACTAGTTTCAGGGAAAATTTGATAATTTTGAATTTCCAGTCCTGAATCAGTTCAGTTCTGAATGGCCAGTCTTCTTCCTGTTACGTTTTAAATTACCCTGTTGAACTTGACGAAGCAATGCTTTCATAGTTCTCGTTGGGTGTCATCTGTCGGGATACCTCGCGGCATACATCCTTTCCGCTGATTTCATATTGTCATTGCACAACCCGACTATTTATATCATGTCGACTATTTCCTCTGGATTGTAATCCGACATAATTAGTAATGTAATGAGCAATCGAAGCACTGAGCTATAAAATTTTTGTGCTAAAGTGCTTGTGAATGTTGTACGAATTCGTAGTATGTTACTAATCATAATAATAGTTCCGAAATAATATGTTCTTAAATACTATCATAACAGGACCGTTAAATAATTCATTAAGTAATAAAAAAAATTTGTGGAAAAGGGCCTTTTTTGAGTCCGTCACAGTGGCGTTCTCCCCTAAGGTCTGAAACCCTTAAATACCGAACCTAATTCGAAACCCAAACCCTTAAATTCTAAATTATTTTCCAAATTTATTCACGTAAAAATTTGAAGCTACCTTGTTATTTATTAATTAAATACATGCTTGCAAAGTGAAGGAAATGTTAGCTTATTCTTAATATTGCCTACTCTGTTTTAATTACTCGACATGCTGCAAGCTCGGCGGTTATCGCAAACATAATTCGCAGTCATCATTCTAGCTCTTCATATTACAGCAACGTGTAATATTATAAGGTTTACTATAACAACATTTTAGTTATTATTCAGAAAAAATACAAAACTTCTTCTATATTCAATAAGTGAACATATTCGTCTAATGCAAATACATTGTTCCCTGATGTATTCGTCGAAAGAAAAAATAGTATTAGACTTTTTATTTTATTTATTATCAAGAATATATTACTATAATAGTGCCCTAACTTTTGTTAACTTATCGACCTTTGGAAATTTCAAAATCATTAAATTAATAAAAGTTAGGGCACTATTATAGTAATATATTCTTGATAGTAAATAAAGTAAAAATCTCTAATATTATTTTTTCTTTCGACGAATAGTTAGCGAGATATCGTAAGTTAAATGTTGAAAAAGTTACCAAATTTTCCTTAAATATTTTAAAAAATATTTGGCAAATAAAGAAATGTTACAGACAAAAGTTGTTAAAATTAATTGGTAGAAAAAGAAGATGTAATAAAAAATTAGGCTTTCTATTTTAAAAAATTAAGTTGACCTCCAACTGACCTTGAAAATGCCCTCCAAATGAAAAACTGATAATGTCATAATTCTCTTTCTCCTTCGAAATCATGGAACACTTGTTTCAGCTTTTTTTAATATCTTTCATAGTTTTCGAGATTTTTTAGCTGTTACGTTTGAAATTTAGCACCCTGTATATCCTTTCGTATCATTGCTTATGGAAAAGAAAACTACAGTATGCACCGTGCAACGATGCTTACTTTTCTTTACATAGTCATATATTTTTTATGTTATTGATTCAAAAGTCAATTGCATATATTAATATGATATGCTGTGGTACTTTTTGTGTGGATAGTTTGCATTTTCATTGTATTATTTGCATTTTAAATCTAGTTCAGTGAATTTTAAGACCCTATTACAAAATATATTGACATAAAAACACGAGAATGTGTACACAAGAGGCTCCGATGGTAAACAGATTGCTTTGGGAAAAAATAGTTCTGAGTTTCTTAATCTCACCAAGTTTATTGTTTTAACCCTGCTTTGGTATGTGATCTTCAAGAACTTTTTGATGTAATCAAATTATAGGCCATTTGCACGCGCATCGTTATCGTGATGGTCTCCACAACATTCTGAAATAATTTCGCCATCTTGTTGCGAAAGAACCTTAGGCGGAGCAGTTGTGCCAATCAGAGCAGCATCGTGGAAATGTACATTTTCAATAAACTAAGTGTTAGAAGCCGACACCTCTTTGCCATATACGTAGAACTTGTTTTCCAGGTCACGCATGGAGTCGACGCTGATGCCAATAGTGCAAGTGCCGGTCACATCGATGATGTAGCGCGCGAAGATATCCTTCGTTTTCATCAACCTCTGCTCCTCCGACAATTATGAATTTGTCGAAATCGGTAGCATAGCCCGATATCAGTCTCAACATACTTTTCATTTTGCTGGACTTGAGGCTGGACTCATAATAGTGCACATCTCCCGCTATTTATTTTCGAGGAGGAAAAAGGGGCTTTGATTGAACAATAATTTTAGATCCTCCCGGATAAAGCTGCGATGATCCGGAAACATGATTGAAGTGCTTGAGCGTAATGAGCTCATGTGGTTGCAGTATTATACTATATTGCTGTATACTACTAGTATTGCCGGCGTAGTCATATCATATGTACATACCGACGTACCTGGTCTCGTTGTTCCTGTTATATCAGGTTAGCAACAAAGTCATATTGTTTTTTCGGATAGACGGACAATTTATTTGATATTAAACGCAACTAATTTCAATCCAAATTCTATAACCTTTATATATCATTTGTCAGCTGACATTTTAAGCTCCCTTTAAAAAAAATGTACTAAAGAATTTACTCATTTACTAAAGAATTGTTTGTTTGGCATTAAGTGAAAAAAAAAATAGAAAATCAAAGCAAGCGCTTTCGCCATATTTTACTTTTTTACTTCCAAAAAGGAAAAAATGCTACGCAAGCCTGTCAAAAGTTACGTGCTGTATATGGTGAGAAATCCTTAACATAATACCAGTATCTGCGTTGGTTTGTTCGTTTAGAAGATTTTTCTATGAAAGATGCACTATGGTCAATTGAAGTCGATGATGACAAAATAAAAGTATTGCTTGAATTCAATTGCCATTATGTGACACGGGAGATCGCTGAAGAGCTAAGCGTATCACATATGAGCATTGAAAACTATTTAAAACAATTTGGATACGTCAACAAACTCGACATTTGGGTTCCACACGAGCTCAAAGAAATTCATCTCACCAAACGCATCAAATCACCGATTCTTTTCTGAAACGTGAGCAAAACGATCCGTTTTTGAAAAGAATGTTAAGTGGCGATGAAAAATGAATTGTTTACAACAATGTGGAACAAAAAAATCATGGAGCAAACATGATGAGCCACCACAAAGCTCTTCTAAAGCAGATATTCACCAAAAAAAGAGTTTGCTACCTGTTTGGTGGGATTACAAGGGTATTATGTTTTTTGAACTGCTTAAATGTAATAAAACGATTGATTCGGAATTGTATTGTCGTCAATTGGACAAATGACACGAAGCAATCAAGCAGAAATGCCCAGAACTGATAAATCGTAAAGGTGTTGTCTTTCACTATGACAACGCTAGATTACATACATCGTTGATCACCCGCCAGAAATTATTGCAGCTTGGGTGAAATGTGTTACCATACCTATCATATTTGTCTAATCTTGCACCATCAGATTACCATTTATTTCGTTTCTTGCAAAATTCCTTGAAGGGAAAAAAATTCGATTCTGATGAGGCTATCAAACTTGGGATAGTTTGTAAAACAGCTGATAAGGACCAGAAGTTTTACGAGGCCGGTATCATGAAGCTACCGAACAGATGGCAAAAGGTCATTGAATTAAACGGACAAAATATTACGGAATGAAGCGTTTGCTTTGTATGAAAAAATCGTTTTTCATTTACATAGAAATAAACGACATGACTTTCTTGCCAGCCTGATACTTTAATTGTGTACATATATTTGTGTAATTAATAATACATAAATTTAATAATATATAAATTTTGCAGGAAAAAATATTCTGCTGGCAATTTTTCAAATATGGCCAGTTGTGAAAACGGCAGAATTATGAAGCGACTTACGAACGAGGTACCATTGTTATTGAAATTTACACGCTCCCTGGGAGTATATTCAATCAAAGATAAAACAGATTTCTGTAAAGTCGCGTATGTAGCCTCGATGTACTCGTTGCTCCATCTAATATGCTTCATGTGTCTTTAGAAAAGCACTTGAGAAGAAATCGATAAGCTGCGTTATGGATAAGTGAAATTCTCGTTAAAGGACTAGAAGCTTTTTATAACGTGCGCATGTAAATCATTTGAAATGTCTGCTATCTGTTTAAAAATAATTTGACTCTCCGTTAAGATTATAACTTGAAAGCGATGACAATCGGTTTTATGGCAATGCTTGTTTATTTAAAATGTGTCATACAATTGTTCACACAATCAACTATATCTCTTATAAACCAGCTATACCTACAGTTAATATTATTTCCAAAAGCTAAGAATTTAGTTTTCGGAAAAGATTAAATTGAGAGAGACAAATTTTTCAGAGAATTTTACTTAGAAATAAACATATTTCATCCCGCTCTCTCGAAAAACAATAGATCTGCTGCGGTTTATTTTTAAACTGTATTCTGAATTATCTCGCCTCGTCAAGCTCAATAAGCGACCAACAAACTATTTAACTTTATTTAACAATATCGAGAAAGAACTTGCTAATCGGTTGAAATCTCAACTACTTTAAGGTTTGAGTCTCAGCTAGATGATCCGGGTAACCTGTTACTTTCGTTTAGTTTCAAAGTGGCCAACACGAGTCGCCAGCATCTTCAACACAGGATGAAAATGGTAATCGATGTCTTCTATCATATCCATGAGTAATATTAAACTATGAGAAATGTTTGCTAATTTCATACAAAGTATAAATATTTATATTTAATGTAACTTTCAGCAAGTGTATTGCAAGCTGCTTCCTCCTTCTCTAATATTCATTATGTTTTCTGTTAATTAAGTTGTGCATATTTATCAGTTAACCCTAGTTAGTTCGGTTAATTAAAATTACATTATATGTACTCACAAACGTTTAACATAATTCTAGACTAAGTCTTAGTATTATATGTTAGCTCCTAAAAGAGAACATATTTATATTCTTGTTTAACAAACGACCCAGTAAACGTACATGTCTAAAAGACGTCTAGAAGATTTCTTTAAGACGTCTTTTAGGCATACAAGTCTAAAAGATATCTTAAAGAAATCTTTTAGACATCTTTTAGACATGTATGTTTACTGGGGACCTTACCTTTATGCGATAACTGATAAACAATAGTAGGATGTAAGAATGTTATTTCATACGTTTTAATAGTTTATTTTTGTACGTTGAAACATGTGTGTCTAGTAAACTTAACATCGTATACCTTTTGTACAACCTTTTTCTCAATAAAAAAAGAAAAAAAACAAAATAATAATATGATTGAGTAATTAGTTAGGATTTTTAGTTTTCAGGCATTACGATTTGAGATAGTTACCTCGCGAAAATAATTTTTTTTTTTTTAGGCGAAAGTAAACTATATTCCGGTCAGCGAAATTTTTAAGTATAGCATCCCGTTAAGAAGATCAAAACACGAAATAATTTTCTATAATAACTAATATCTACAAAAATAGGTTTATACAACAAGCAAATTGGCGATCTCTCGCATATATAATTCTTCTCCTGTAAGGGAAAATTTGCTTCATATTGTAATTTAAGAAAAGAAAAGAAAATACAAGGTGACTAGAGGGATAAGTTGGACTGATTGAAAATATGGGCGACTGCTCTGGTAAAACTAAGCTGCCCAACAGCACCACACTTCGATACAACTCTCTTTTTTTCTCTCTTCTTTCTTCTCTTGATTTTATTTGTCAAGTTGATCATTCTCCTATGTCGCTCGATATCTTATAATTAACATATGTTATAATCTACAAATATATTTAAAAATCACCGCACCGAAAAACACATAAAGCAATATCATATAAGAGCTTTGAAAATTATTGAATCGTATGACACAAGTAATAAATTTGCTAAAGTACATATAAGAAAGTTAAGAAAAAAAAAATGAGAGAAAACACATTGGGGGCATAATAAAACTGGGCCTAGAACTGACCTTTTGCTTAACTGGTTGATCGATCTATCAACCAGTCAACCAAGCGCCATGTTTCGATATATCTTCCTTTCTCTCTTATACATGCTCTTTAGGTTAAAAGGTAGGTGTTTCTAATACATATCTATATAAATTATGATATTTAATGACATATATTTGTTGAATAACTAATCTTCTCTTTTTGTTGTAATCAAGAAAATTTAGTACATTAAAGAATTTTATTAAATGATCAAATATTTTCTTTTTTTATATATATTGAGATATCTGATATTATCACATACTTTCAATTTATCAAGTTTCAGTAAGCTTATTTATATATTTAAATATTACAGTATTTGTTGATGTAAGTTGATGTAAGTGGTTGTACAGTGATTGTTGATGTAAGACTCTATACAAGGTGTCCCATTTTAATTGTGCATCCCAATTAACATTGTAGAAAGTGATTGAATGAAAAAATATTTTTGACAAAAATTGTTTCAAGGGGAACATGAGACAGCGATATCATTTTGTTTACAAATGGCGCCACTTTCAAGATATTCACTGAACATTGCTTTTTTTGAATGAAAAGCCCAATTTTTTATTATACCATTTTTCCTACCAATTAATTTGGATAATTTTTATCTACAACATTTTTTTATTTGTCTAATATTATTTCAAATATTTAATGAAAATTTGGTAAAATTTTCCAAAACTTAGCTTACGATATCTCGGTAACAATTTGTTGGGATAAATATAATACTATATATTTTTCATATTCTATTTTGTCTCAAGAATATATTGTAGTGCCTTAGCCTTTGTTAGCTTGATAATCTTTGAAAATTTCAAAATCATCATAAAAATGAGACATCCTGTATATTATATTTGATACATATGTAGTTTTCAATGTAGTACCCGCCGTAATTACTTATTCAAGACAGTTCCCCACAATTGTCTCACGAGATGTAAAATGCGCAGCAAAATTATGCACTAGAATTTTGCATCAGAACGTGTTTCCACACGCGAAGTTCGCAATTACTTGCCTTATTTGAAGCTAATTTTACAACCGTTGCGATTGCTAATTTGGAGAAATTTGTAATATTAATTTCAAAATTGAGATCACAATGTTAGAATTCGGAATAAGCTAATTTTCGTCGTGAAAGTTTTCGTTCTCGAAAATAAAGAATTTCACTTTCTTCCGTTCTTCTACCAGAATTTAACGTCCACGGGACGGAACGTTTTCTTTTATTCTCTCCGAACCTTATCGGAACCGTCGTGCTCTCCATTTCTCGATTTTTTGCACACGATCCCTGACTCGAGTGTGTATACTCGAGGCGTTGTAATTTGTCGCGTGCTTTTCGTTCACTCGTCAAACGTCGTATTATCGCGATCGCGAGTGCAGTTCCGTGCAGCGCAGTGAAGTGAAGTGAAGTGAGTGAAGTACGGCCGACGACGACTGGTCGCTCCGGCGGCGGCTGGATGTTGAGGACTTGAAGC